TTTCCATCCACTATTTGAAATTTCTCCCATATGCGTCCATCAGTGATATCAGACAAAAATCCATTCTGCTTCTGTCGGTTTCTCCAAGCTTCACATTTTTTTGGATAGTCTTTCCTTTGCACCATTTCTTCTAGTTTGTTTATTATGCTGTTGTAGCAGTACACATGTAGAGGATAAAACTCACATACACCATTACTGAGAATAACTTTTCTAGAAAGAGCTGCTCCACAAACTCTGGAACGAGGGAATTTCTTGTTTTGGCAAAGCCTTACGACTCTATTCCCTTGTCTGTCAAGTTCTGTGCATTCTTTTAAGTCATACARCTTTGAACATTTGGGGCAGACAGCTTTTTTAAAAWAAWTGTCTCTATCAAATGATACAAATTTCCTTAAGAGGTAAAGTGAGGTTGGGAAAATTWAAACAAGTTGTGRTAAGTATTCACTCCCACACAGAGTTGATAAAACTCTGAAGAATTGACAAAKGAATTGAAGCATCCATTCCAAACCATTATCACTGATCTTGGTTACTGATTGCCAGAGTAGGATGAAATAAACAAACCATTGAACTAGAGCTGTCACTTTTTGGATGTTTGATTGATTTGCATCAGGCTGAGGACAAGGTTCTTCATCAGCTGAGTGAATGTCTTTGCTAAACTCCTCGAACAAGACGTCTTCCCAAATTTCCTCAAAATCCTGTTGCTCAAACTCAGAAGACTCATTAATGTCAGAAGAATCCTCATGAATTGATTCATCACTTGAAGAGCTCTGAAAAAAAAACAACAATATCAATAACTAAATTGTGTTATAATAAATTAAGATCATTTTATATCCATGCATTTCAACCTTTTCATATATCTAGTAAATGTATTGAGGATACAAATATTCAGCTAAATTGTTATTCACCTCAGATGTGGGACTATGTAATCCTGGTTCATTATCATCATCTTTACCAGCAGTGGATTCATTATCTACCAAAAAATCAAAGTTAATTATAATTTGTCAATTGATGGACAAAGGCATTTCATTAATAAATTTAATGAATATAATAC